AATCTAAACTTATTCTAAAATTTGATGCTATTTCCGACATTTTTTGCTTTCATTTAATAAAATTTAAAAAAATGTCAACATTATGGCGTTTTACTTTGTTGCAGTTTTTCTTATCTCACCCTGAGGGTATATATCATTTGATACGGTCAAAAGGTGTCTAATCGAAATAACGGGTTTAGACCTTAGGTCTCTTTGGACCAATCCGTTTCAGGGCATTTGGAGTCGATCTAGCGATGTCCGTCGGTCTGGCAGGTGCGCACGATAACTCTCGAAGGGAGTAATCGATTTGTTACAAACTTGGTACATCATTACATTTTTATCAAACTTAGATCGAGTTCGGATATGGGCAAATCGGTCCACTCCTTCTGCTACCTTCTCCCAGAAAATAATTTGTTTGTACAAAAAGATAAATGAAAATCCGATTTTGTTCCAACTTTGCAAATACTAATATTTGGCCAGTTCTAGGTCAGGTGGAACGAAAGTGGACAATATTGGTCCACTCCATCAAGTACCTCCCTCATAAAGGGTCAAAATTTTGAATAATTATAACTCTTATAAAATGTGATGTAAGAATACGGTTGCCTTAAAATTGCACACATCCCAATATTTTTAGAAACTTATGATCTGGTGTTAGGATGGAATGTATCGGTCAACTACTTCTGGTACCGAAATTTTGAATATCCATGAAGTTCATAAAAGGCGAAATTAACATCCGATTCCATTCCAGACTTGGTACATCTCAATATTTCCATCAACACAAGGTCTGTTATAAAGATGGTATAGATCGTACCATTTCTTTTGCTACCTGCCCCACATTGGTTTCAAGATTTTGAAAAACAAAACGCTCAAAGAAAGCGAAATAAGCAACCAAATCTCTTACAATTTCACACATACAAACATTTTTGCTAACACAAGATCTGTTATGAAGATGATATATATCTGCGAACCCCTTCTGGTACCTCACCCCCAAGAGGTTACAATTTTCAATTCTTTTATCTGTCATAACTTTACAACTTGCTATATCTAAATATGTCTCTCAACCAGAAACCTGAGATGAATATCGAATTTATTATTTTCCATAAATTGGATATAAATCCTCGATTTTCCTTTAATTTTGCCCATATCAAAATTTTTATATGCATTAGATAAAGCATGAAAAGGAAATATTTCGGTCGACTACATCTGGTACCTCGAGCACATTTCAACATTCTCTAAAATTTATTATATATTTCAAATGAAGTGAAGGAAGTAGCCAATATAATCCAAACCGGGCACATCGCAATATTTATATCATATGTATTCAGGTTCGAAACTAAATTGTCAAAATTGATCCATTCCTTTGTAACCTACTCCATAGAGGGTCGACAATTTTAATAATCATAGCAGAAATCAAAATATATTTAAATAATCGAACCTTGGCTGAGGGTATACATCTGTCGGCAAAACCGACTGATATTTTCTAACTTGTTACATAAAATTTAAAATATGTAAAAATTATGAAAATTATCTCACCCTGTTATTCTGCGTCGATTGGTCTAAAATTGCGACCTGTAGAGTGACAGCAAAATCAGGATTTTTTTCGGTTTTTTTTTTTTTTTTTTGGTCCAAATGGCTTATATTCTGACCCTAATCCAACTTCTATTTTCAATTTCTTAAGGATAACTGCGACCTGTAGCGTGATTACAAATTAACATGGACAGTCGGACGGACACTCGGCGAGATAGGAAGATCCAGATATAGTTTCCTATGTCGGGAACCAATATTTCGAGGTGTTACACAATTTTCGGCCCAATCAAACTTATAATACCCCCAACACGTAGTGTTGCAGGGTATAATGACAAATAAATAAACCACAGACAATTGCTTTACCATGGTTACGGGTTATGGTTATGACAGTCTAATTGAACCATAACCATAGTTGCGACCTATAGCGTGATTACCGCCGAGAATCGATTTTAGGTTAATTAAGTAAGATCTAAAAACTACTTTCGACTTTTAGACTTACATTCCCAATTAGTACGTATTGGACTTGGTTTAATATGGTTATCAATACCAAATGCCTATTAAGATTATCTGGAACATGTGAAAGTATTAATTATTGTTATCATCCACAGATTTCTGACAGTGACTTCATTAATCCTGAAGCTTATTTTACACCTCAATCCACAAAACATGAAGTGAAAATAATGTAAATTTTCTAAACAATTAACACCCAAACCTCTTTGAAGATACTTTGTTTCACATCCTTGCTTCACTATATCCTATTAGAATTATATATTTTAAATGAATTTCCAATCCATCTGGATCTATTGTCTTTGTATTAGTTGCCAAGTTTGCGGAGAATAATTGCCTTTCTAATCTCTCAAACTCAGCTACAGTAGCCCACATACAAGCATTTATAGAGCAGGCTTCACAGCAAGCAGGCAGCCACCTCTATCACCCAAGCCTTTTGTTTAATTCTTGTGCAAAATGTGAGTTATTTGTGTTGTTGCTGTAGTTGTTGTTGCAAAAGCTAATTCATAATGGACTTGAATGCAATTGACAGCAAATAACTTCGAATGAATAAATGAATGAATACAATTATCCGTTATTCGTTATTAAATTACCATAGTAATCAAATCTGTCTTAATTACCAACAACAACAATCACTTCTTTTTGTGTCAGAATATCTTCACTGACAAGAAGGAGGAGAAAGGAAACCAGAACATCACAAGATGCGAGCATGCTGTTGTCATTCCATAATTTCCGAAAGGGGTCTTTGGAAATTCCTAAGAATTGAAACTGTCTATTGTTGTTTTGATGTGTTGTTATTGGCTTTTGACAGCGATGACGATGATGCAGAGATCATGTGAGGAAGATAACTGGAGCTAATAATTATTTGAAATTTATAAGTTTATGAGAGAAGGGAGTCAAACAGCTTCACACACCGAAGATGATGTGCAATGGGAAGTCTATGGAAAGGAGAGCTACAACTTTTCTAGGGGAAGAATGAGAAGACCTACAAGTGGAAGGAAACCCTATAGGTCTCAACAGGTCTTTTAGGGAGGAAAGAACTTCAAAATGTCTTCTATGGAGAGGTGACCTTCAAAAGGTCTCCTATAAAGGGAAGGCCATGTACAAGTCTCCTACGGAAACACTTTTTCTCCAACGGGTCTTCTATGGAGAAAAAAACATCTACCGCTTCTATAGAGAGAAAACCTTCATCAGGTCTTTTATGGTGAAAACCCATTCTACAGGTCTTCTATGGATCTTCAACAGGTCCTCCAAAGGTCTCCTATGAAGAGGTATGCTATAAAAAAAAGACCTTGAACAAGTCTTCTATAGACAGAACATCTTCTACCGGTCTTCTATGGAAAGAAGACCTTCTACGGGTCTTCTATGATAAGAAGACTTCCACAGGTCTTCTATGGAAAGAAGACCTTCTACAGATGTTCTATGAAGAAAGGACCTTGTGCAGGTCTTCTATGGAGAGAGACCTTGTACAGGTCTTTTATAGAGAGAAGACTTAGTGCAGGTCTTTTAAGGAGAGAAGACCTTGTAGGTCTTCTATGGAGAGAAAAACTTCTTCTATAAAGAGAAGAACCTCTACAAGTCTTCTATGGAAAGAAGGCCTGAACAGCTCTTCTATGGATAGAAGACGTAGAGCTCTTCTGTGGATAGAAGAGACTTACAGCTTTTCTATGGATAGAAGAGACCTAGAGCTCTTCTATGGATATAAGAGACCTAGAGCTCTTCTATGGATAGAAGAGACCTAGAGCTCTTCTATGGATAGAAGAGACCTAGAGCTCTTCTATGGATAGAAGAGACCTAGAGCTCTTCTATGGATAGAAGAGACCTAGAGCTCTTCTATGGATAGAAGAGACCTAGAGCTCTTCTATGGATAGAAGAGACCTAGAGCTCTTCTATGGATAGAAGAGACCTAGAGCTCTTCTATGGATAGAAGAGACCTAGAGTTCTTCTATGGATAGAAGAGACCTAGAGCTCTTCTATGGATAGAAGAGACCTAGAGCTCTTCTATGGATAGAAGAGACCTAGAGGTCTTCTATGAATAGAAGAGACCTAGAGCTCTTCTATGGATAGAAGAGACCTAGAGCTCTTCTATGGATAGAAGAGACCTAGAGCTCTTCTATGGATAGAAGACCTTGAGCTCTTTTATGAATGGAAGACCTAGAGCTCTTCTATGGATAGAAGACCTACAGCTCTTCTATGGATAGAAGACCTAGAGCTCTTCTATGGATAGAAGACCTAGAGCTCTTCTATGGATAGACACCTAGAGCTCTTCTATGGATAGAAGACCTAGAGCTCTTCTATGGATAGAAGACCTAGAGCTCTTCTATGGATAGAAGACCTAGAGCTCTTCTATGGATAGAAGACCTAGAGCTCTTCTATGGACAGAAGAGACCTCGAGCTCTTCTATGGATAGAAGAGACCTCGAGCTCTTCTATGGATAGAAGAGACCTCGAGCTCTTCTATGGATAGAAGAGACCTCGAGCACTTCTATGGATAGAAGAGACCTCGAGCTCTTCTATGGATAGAAGAGACCTCGAGCTCTTCTTTGGATAGAAGACCTACAGCTCTTCTTTGGATAGAAGACCTACAGCTCTTCTTTGGATAGAAGACCTACAGCTCTTCTATGAATGGAAGACCTACAGCTCTTCTATGGATAGAAGAGACCTACAGTTCATCTATGAATAAAAAATATCTACAGCTCTTCTATGGATAGAAGACCTCGATGGATAGAAGACCTACAGCTCTTCTATAGATAGAAGACCTAGAGCTCTTCTATGGATGGACGACCTACAGCTCTTCTATGGATAGAAGACCTACAGCTCTTTTATGGATAGAAGATCTAGAGCTCTTCTATGGATAGAAGACCTAGAGGTCTTACATAGGTTTTAAATTGAGAGGAAGGCCTACACGAGAAAAAATACAACTGCTGAAGGTTATCCAACGATGAGATTGTTGTAGTAGGTCCTTTACCAAAAAATTTAAAAGTCATGTTTTTTTAAGTTCCAGCATTTACTTCTTTATTTTCTTCCATTCTGAGTTCCCTCATTTTCACAACTAAACATTCGGGCTCCTCTTCAATTTCCATTGCCGTGTATCCTTTCTCTCAATGACTGTGAATACTATCCTGTACCAATTTCAAATGATTCGCCAAGAAACACATGCCGCCACGATACGCCCAAGTACAGGCGTCCGATTTTTGTGAATTCTTGTCGGCACACAGATCAATTTTCTGATGGATTTCATCGCTGTGATCCACTGGCTCATGACCACCGGCCAATTGATGATGTACCAAATAGGGATTGAAACCATGAGTTTCATCGAAAAAGCCGAATTTCTCGAAAACACATTTCATATAGCAGCGGGTTATCTCGTCGTTGGGATATTCCCAAGCCTTGTATTTCTCCATTTTATCGGCAGGCACGTCCAATTGTTTGCCGCACTCGTCACGGAATCTGGCCAGATCTTCTTTGGTCTTAACCGTGTAATCGTGACCATCATGGATTATGTGATGATCATGTCCCGTATGGCCCTCCTCGTGATGGGCCGAGACCTAAAGGTGGGTGGTAAGGAAATATATGAGTTTTCGAGAATATTACACATTCAACCTAAAGCTACTGCTTACCGTCACTGCTGCTGTCAAGCACAAAATCGCAATGAATACCTTCATTATACTGTCTGTATGGCTGACAATTTCTCAGGGTTTTTATACTTTCTCTTTTGCCTTTGTACTTAGTTGGAGTCTGAGTCGAAGCTTGTGTTCGTTGTGTTTGCTTGTTTTTGAGGCAAGAGGAGGTTATCTCGCAACAGACAGAATGCATCTGTGTTTTGAATTAACCTCTTGGGGGGACACACAATCAATTGTTTACCTTTTGAGTTCGTATTTTTTAATAAATAGAGGTCACTGCTCGTTGAAGGTTGCGATAAATAAAATCATATAAAAATAACATCCGTGATTCATCCAGAAATTGCTGGATGTCTTTGAAAATAATATTCACACTTTTTAGCAAGATTGTTACTTAACTTCTGTCATATTAGAATTTTTGCATTAAATCTGTGATCAATGCTATGCTATTCAAGCTTTGGGTTATACAAAAACTCTTAAGGCATTTTTAATGCAGCATTAACCTAAAATCGTATAATTTTAAGAAATTTTTGAAAAAAAAATATTGGTATGGGCAAAGTTAGAAGGAATTCGAATATGTATAACCAATTTCATGCGAAATCATAAATTCCGATGGATTCCATATTTATATCAGATTTTTATTTTAGAGATATAAGTATTGAAAATTGTGACCCTTTGTGGGTGAATACCAGAAGGAATAGGCCGATATCTATGATCTTCACGCCAGATCTTGTGTTGATAAATATATAAGGATGTGTGAAATTTGAAGAGAATCGAATGCTTATTTCGCGTTTTATTGGCGTTTTCTTAATTAAAATTTTAACTCTTTTGTGGGGGAGGTACCAGAAGGAGTGCATCAATATATCCCTTCATCACAGCAGATCTTGTGTTAGTAGAAATAATGGGATATGAGAAATTTGAAGAGAACCGAATGCTTATTTCCGATTTCATTATATCAAAATTTTAACCCTTTGTGGGGGTGGTAACAAAGAGAATTATCCAATCTCCATCATTTTTATAACAGATCTTGTGTTAATAGAAATATAGAGATGTGCCAAGTTGGAATGGAATCGGGCATTCGTGTTTTATGAGCATCATGGATATTCAAAATTATGTCTCTTTTTGGGAGAAGTACCAGAAGGATTGGACCGATATTTCCAATCTACACACCAGATCTTGGGTTAATAAAAAAATATTGTGATGTGTGAAATTTGAAGACTGTCAGAAACTTATTTTCCATTTTATTAGAGTTATATTTATTCAAAATATAATTATTCAAAATTTTGACCCTCTGTGGGTACCTCTCCAACAAAGGTAGGTCCACAAAGTAGGAATGTACCGATATTGTCCATTTTCGCACCTGACGTAGATCTAATGCAAATATTAGGATTTGCAAAGTTGGAGTAAAATCTGATTATCGTTTCTCTTACTGTACAGTAAAATATTTGTATGCCCTCAGCCATATGGCTAGAGAGGGTATATATCATTTGATACGGCCAACACGTGCCTCATCGAAATAATGGTGTTAGACCCTAGGTCTCTTTGGACCAAATTCGCTTCAGGACATTAGGAGTCGATCTAGCTGGTCGGTCTGGCTGGCTGGTGCCTACGATAACTCTCGAAGGGAGTATCCGATTTGGTCCAAACTTGGTACATTGTAAGATGGGCAATATTCGTCCACTCCTTCTGGTACCTTCCCCACAAAAGGTCGAAATTTAAAAAAAAAAATATTTTCTACACAGAAAGAGAAACGTTAATCCGATTTTGCTCCAACTTTGCAAATACAAATATTTGCGTCAGTGCTAGGTCAGGTGCGAAAAAGGACAATATCGGCCCTCTATATCTAGTACCTCTCCCACAAAGGTTCAATTTTTTGGAGAATTACAACTCTTATAAAATGTGATGTAAGAGTCCGATTGTCTTCAAATTAAACACATCCCAATAATTTTATTAACCCAATGTCTGGTCTTAAGATGGAATATATCGATCCTCTCCTTTTGGTACAACCCCCCCCCCCCCAAAGGGTACCAATTTTCAATATCCCTGGAGCTCATAAAACGTGAAATAACGTCCGATTCCATTCAGACTTGGCACATCTCAATATTCCCATCAACAAAAGATCTGTTACAAAGATGAAAGAGATCGGACAATTTTTTCTGGTACCTCCCCCCATAGGTTTCAAGATTTTGAGAAACCAAACGCTCAAATCCGCCAAATAAGCATTCAACTCTCTTCAAATTTCACACATACAAACAGTTTTGCTAACACAAGATCTGTTATGAAGATGTGATATATATTTGCGAACCCCATATGGCATCTCACCCACAAAGGGTTACAATTTTCAATACTTTTATCTGTCATAACTTGCGAAATAAGTCAGCTAACTAAATATTTCTCTCAACCAGAAACTTGGGATGAATATGGATTTTATGATGAAGATATCAATATAGACCAAGTCGCAATATTTATATCGTATTAATTATGTCCGATATGAAATGGACAACATTGGCCCATTCCTTCTGAACCCATTCCATAGAGGGTCGAGAGTTTAAATAATCATAACAGAAGTCAAAGTATATTTAAATAATCGAACATTTTTTTATACCCTACACCACAAGTTGGTCAGGGTATTATGTTTTTGTGCATTTGTTTGTAACAGGCAAAAGGAAACGATATAGACCCATAGTTCCTTTTGATGATAGTTCCATAGAATCACATTCTGAGTCGATGTCTGCATGTCAGGTAGCATTTATTGCTCGATTCAGATGAAATTTTGCACATATAATTTGTTTGACCCAAAGGAGAAACCTATTAAAATTGGAGATAATCAGTAAAAAATTAGATATAGCTGCGTCCGACTTGCTTTTTATTGTGCACCAAACGTGTAATATCAGCCCAAATAGTATGGACGTACGATGAGATTGGACCTTAAAATAAGTATGCAAAATTTGATCGAAATCGGTTCAGATATAGCTATAGCTCCCATATATATTGTTCATCCGATTTGTTATTTTTGTCCTCCGCAGCAGTAATATGCACTATGTAACAGATGCCCTATGTAATAAATACCATTGCTAAATACAGCTCAGATATACCTTTGCCAAATTTTCAGATTCAGATATAGCTCTCATATATATCTATTCGATTTCAAGGTAATTGTGCACTAAATGGATAATTCTAGCCCGAATTGAAAAGGCGCAAATGTCTCAGCAAATTTAGTAGAAATCGACTCAGAGGAGGATATTCCTCCCATATATTATTTCCTTCGGACTTTTAATTATTACTATAATCATAGTTGGTATGATTTAACTGGTTTTCTTTTCAACACAATATCCAAAAAAATTCTAGAAACAAAAAAATTACGGCGGTGCTTAACGAATTAAATTAGCTGGCCGCCTGGATTCTCTGTATGCATATATGTTCAATTATATGTATGTATGAGTGGGTACTTGCATGGAAATTATTGTTCGAGTTGCTGCTTTTGTTGTATTTGATTGTAATTTGCACAAACAATTATTGATAATACTCAGAAGAAGCAGAAGCTCAAGTATCAACAAAGCAAAAGCAGCGCAACATATGTACATACATAAATAAACACACAAACTGAGATAGCGCCTAGCAATTCAATCTTGAGTAAGACCCGAATTGACCGCAGACGACGAGAACAGCTGTGCGCTCTGCGGCGATGATATGTCCCCAGAGATCAGTCATAAAAATTTGTACTTAAATACAATTAAAAATCTATAATTAGCGCGTGGTAGACTAGGCGATGCCCTAGACTAGTGGGGAATTGTTTGGGGGGGTGATATTGGGTGAGAAAAAAGGTCGATTATTTTGTACCTTCCAATTGTTTAGGGGGGAGGAAAACCTTTAAGGTAAATAAAGAAGTCGGTGTGAGACTTGAAAATTAAATTTTAAACAATAAAAATGATTGAAAAATTGTAATAAATTTTGGAAAACATGCAAAGTGATAGGGTACCTTAGCAACATTATTGCAAATGGGCTCGAAACAGCAACTATCAGAGGTGAGGTGTAGAGACAGTTTTTAACCATATTTTAAAAAGGGACAAAAAGAAAGCAAATATTCCTCTTATTTTAATCTGCAATATTACCTAAGACACTTTATACCTAAAAAATCACGGATTTCTAGAAATCTTAATCCGAACATATCCAAAAGTAGAAAAACTTACCCCTCTCACCCCCCTAGTTTGGTTACATTTCGATATATACTTTTAAAACGCCGCTACACGTCTCTTATTTTTTAGCTCAATCAAAGACATCTAGCTACCTTTATATAGAGTAGAATCTAACGTTACTGAGCATAGAAGATTTTTTCAAGTTAAGCCCTTCGTATACACCCATTATCAATGGTATATACAGGGTGAGATAAAAAAAAAACTGCAACAAAGCCAAACGCCATAATTTTTACATTTTTTTTTTTTTTTAAATTTTATTAAATGAAAACAAACCAGTAAAGAAAGTTTTAAAGTCGGGCGGAGCCGTCTTTATGATACCCTACACCACTTAACCAATTTCGTAGAGCTCCGCATAACAATTAAAAGTTTTTTATGGGAGAATTAAATCATACACGCCATGATTATAATTATAATTTAAAGTTCAAATGACTAAATATGCCGGAGCATTTGTATCTTTTAAATTCGGACTTGTATTGCCCATTTGGTGCATAATTAATTTGAAATCGGATAAAGATCTTTATGGGAGCTATATCCAAATCGGAACCGATCTCGATAAAATTTGGCAAAGATATTTCTGAACTGTATTTGATATATATCCCTGAATATCGCCGTTATGGAGTGCATATTATGACTGTGGGTAACAAATATAACAAATCGGATGAACATTATACATGGGAGCTATAGCTATATCTCAACCGATCTTCACCAAATTTGACATACTAGCTTCTAGACTCAATTCGGTCATAAGTGCCAAATTCCATCCCATTTGGACAAATATTAGACGTTTGGTTGCCAATCAAAGGTAAATCGGACGAAGTTATATATGGGAGTTATATCCAAATCTGAACCGATCTCGATAAAATTTAGCAAATGTATTTCTGAGCTGTATTCGACTTAATTCCCCAAATATTGTTGTTACAGAGTGTATATTACGGCTGCGGAGGACAAAAATAGCAAATCGGA